AAAATCGCTCAATAACCACGCCTACTTCCCATATAACGGTAATTTTCAGAAATACGAAAACTGCGATATTTTAGTAACTACTGGAGATTATTCACTTAAAATTGATATTTATAATAAGTTTTAGACGAAAAATAAGAATATTATAAATTTTTGGAAAATGGGCGTAGCCACGCCCACTTATGGTTACATGTGTATATCTTGGTAACCGATGCACCAATTTCTTCCAAACTTGGCACAGTTGTTGGCCTTGGTACAGCATAAAAAACCGCCGAAACTTTTTAAAATCGGACAATAACCACGCCCACATCCCATATAACGGTAATTTAGAGAAATACAAAATCTTCGATAAATAATTAAATATTGAAGCTAATTTATTCAAAATTGATGCTTGCAACAATTCTTTACCAAGAAATACGTTTATGGTAAAATTTTGGAAAATGGGCGTGGCACCGCCCACTTATGATCACATATAAGTATATCGGTAACCGTTCTACCAATTTGTACCAAACTCGGTATGGTTATTGTACTTGCCCCGTGTAAGCAAAACGTTGAAAATTATTGAAATCGGACTAAAATAACGGCCGATTCTCATATAACGGTATAATTTAAGAAATGCTTTAAACTTCAATATTTCGAAATTGAAGGACGCTAATTAACCCAAAATTGATACACCTCGGCTTACCAACTAGCGGAAGGTTTCGGAAGGGTGAAAAAACATATATTTAATACTTGCGCCGGGTATTTAATGTTCGGCTCCGCCCGAACTTAGACTTTCTTACTTGTTTTTACCTCACTTTGTTACGCATGTACAGATTTTAAAAGCTAGTCCTGTATTTCTATAGGGGTATTCACCAAATTGAGCAAGTGTTCTGGCACTTGGGAAAAAGAACTGATTATCTCAAACCAACGAATGCTGTCAAAGATGTTGCTTGAGCTAATCAGCTATTTTGCCCGAGTGCTAAACACAAAAATTCTTTCACATCAATAAAACCTGTGACGAAATAACGAACTCATGTTTGAGAAGTTTATTTGAATTTTATATTTCTTTTTAATTTTTTTTAACTGACTTCAAAAAAAGGAGGAGGCTATCAATTTGT